GGGAGGGAGAGACAGAGACAGGAAGAGGCTAGGGAGGTAGCAGGGAACTCCTGGCTGGTCCTTCCTGCTGCTATCCATCAGGCTGAGCACCCATGCTGGCCCCAGTGTTGCCCAAGATGCCCTTGCCCCTGCAGAATCACCCAAGGCTGAGAACCACCAACATGTGCACATCCACATTATACACACACATCCCCCTGCCCTGGCAGCATTTCACAATGACACCACCACCTTCAAAAGGCCTTCCCTGCAGCCCCAGCTCTAAGCACAGCCCCAGGGATGCCTAAAGCCCTGGCAGAACCACTGGCCAGCCAAGGGTCTTTTTAGAGTCCATTTTCACACACAGGTATATGGAGGGGTGATAACACCCTGACCCCTGACCAGGTCCCATGTTCCCAACTTCAGAAGACCAGGGCCTTGGGACCTGAGCCCAGCTCCCTACCCTCTGGGGTTGAGGGGGAGCTAGAGGCCACACTGAGGAAGGGAGCAAAGGGCTCAATGGGGTTAAGCACAGGAGGAAAAGAGCCTGTAGCACCCCAAGTTTTATTAATTCCTGCTGGCTGTTTTAAGTCCATCCTCCAACCCAGCCCAGAATGGAAGCTGCTGGTCTTGGGATGGCCGGGCTTAGATGAAAGAAAGGGCTGTGACCCAAGAGGGCCAAGCAGAGGGAGCTCCCCACACACCAAGCCCCCAACCCTGCAGGCAAGAGGGAGCACAGGCACGCTGGGGCTGGCTTAGGCGCCCAGTGTTGGGGAGGCAAGGACAGTGGCCATGCCTGACACTTCGCATTTGCATCCAGGGAACAGACTTTGTGGGAGACGGGGGCACTGGGACAGACACATCTCTGGCTTGAGAGGCCCCTGAGTCCTCTGCCTCCCAGCCAGGGTGCTGGCCTTGAGGCCCAGGAGGTGTCCCCACCTTTGGTTTTAGGTTCACTGTGACTTCGTTGCCTTAGCCCTCAGTGAACAGATGTGAAATGTTCCCCGGGTGGGGCTCCCCTGAGCGCCACAGCCTCCCCATGGCAACATGTCCTGATCAATGTCTGTCTCTACAGCCAGGACACAGAAGCCACGAGAGCAGGACCTCACCAGGCTTGTTCATTGCCACATCCTCAGCCTAGAGCAGCCTCGGCACAAAGCAGGCATCCTACACATGCTGCTGAGCAAGGGAACTCATGGAACAAAAGCTGAGGCTCCAGCCCTCACAAGCACTGGTCCTGAAGCGAGTGGGAAAGGCAGCGGTATGAACAGGGGTGGATCCCAGGCTCTGTGAAACTTCCTGTTCCTCATTCCTTCCATAAACACGGACCAAGCGCCTAAGATGTGCTGGGTGCAGGCAGAAAACAGAAAGACAAGTTCCCACCCTCTCGGAGTCTAGAGGAAGTCAACAATCAAAAGATGGGCAACTATACAACCTGGAGGGAGTTTGTAAATGCTGCTCAGAGAAATAATCCAGAAAACTAGGACTGGACAGGCCCAGAGGAGGGTAGCAGTTACTACTCTTGATAGAGGGAACAGGGAAGGGAAGCTGGAAAAAAGGGATGGAAGTTCAGGGAGAGCCATGCAGAAATGTAAAGAAAAGACACTCCAGGCAGAGGGAACCGTAAGTGCAAAGGTCCTGAAGTAGAAATGTGATTGGTATCCTCAAGGAACAGCAAGGAATCCAGTGTGGTCAAAAGAGCAACAGCAAGGAATATGGTGGAGGGAGAGGAAACCAGATGCAAGGTTGCCAGAGTAAAGCAGTGACACTATAGGACTCTCATTTGGTTGAAAGAGAACAAGAACAGAATCAGGAGGTGAGTTAGATGACTGCAATAAATAACCCAGGCCCTGGCAAAGGGGCTCAGCCCCATCCAGGGCAGTGGAAAAATGAGTGGTGCCCAGAGCCTGAATAGTGTTAAGGTGGAGACGAGAGGATTGGCAGTGATGTGGGAGAGACAGCGGAGTCCAGGGCTCCAGGTCTGAGCAGCCGGAAGAAGGCGGCTGCCACTGGTTGCGTGAGGGAGACCGTGGGACTATGTCTGGGGCCAGGAAGCCTGCAGTTGTTTGGGGAGCCTGGAAAGCCTCAAGGTATAGCTGGGGTCTCCACTCAAAAGACCAGACAGAGTCCCAGCAGGTGTGAGCGTGGGGAAACGTGAGGAGGCTGAGCACAGGGGCCAAGGGGGCCACAGCAGGATGCACAGATCAGGATCCAACAGAGGACACAAACAGGTCCAGAGAAGTAAAAGGACACAGTGTGGTGATGTCCCTGATCATTGTGTTTTGAGAATGTCACAGCCTCGGCCAGCACTCTGGCTTTGACATCAGCCAGATCTGAACCAGAACCTCAGTTTCCCCATCTGTCCAACAGGATGATGGAGGGGACACTGTGCTTGCCTCGGTGGGTGGGTGGGGTTAAGAAGCCTAGCTTAGCCAGGGGGCTCCCGCCTGGGTTCCAAGGCCACCATCCCAGATGCAGCCTGGAGCCAGCTCATGCTTCCCAAGAAGAAAACTCCATGTCACAGCAGCACCTCGGGGTCCTGACCTCTCCTCCTGGCCTGGACTCACGAAGAGCAGCCAATTTCTCAGTGGTGCAAAGGGAGGGAAGGAAGGAGGGGCTTTTAGGTGATAAACAGAGGCCCCACAAAGTAACAGAATCACAGAGGGCGTTAGTCCCCAAGCTCTTGTCCAGCTCTTCTGATCAACATGGAGAGAAAGCCTCATTATTAACATCCCTTTTCACACTTAAAGAGAAACCAGGCCCTGGGCTCAGTCCCTGTGGTCATACTGAGGGGACGTCAGGGACGGTGCTGGGGTTTTCTTTCTAAATAAATTCTCAGAAGTAAAACGATAAGTGAGAAGATTTCTTTTTTTTTTTTTTTGTACCAGGGATTGAACTCGGGTCCTTCTGCTTATGAGGCAGACGGCGGAACCACTGAGCTAAATCCCCAGCCCAAGAAGATTTTTTTTTTTAATGTTAAACACATAAGAGTTAAGCAGCTTGATGTAGGGGTGGGAGTAGAAGAGACAGAAAGGCAGATATCCCCGGGGGCCTGAATGCCTAAAGATGCCAAGAATTTTCCACATCCCAGGCCCTGGGTTTGATCCCCAGGGTTGGAAATGTTTTTAAACCTCTCTGCAGAAGCCCAGGGAGATGCCTGTTTATACTTTCCACAAGACAGAAAGCCCTACTCTGTGGAACCGTTGTGTGTGATCTGTCTGCATCAGAACACAAGCACCCACAGTAGCTCATTCACATCATGAATATCCTAAGCAAAGTTGTTCTTTTAAATCAGAAAATTCATGCAGGAGAGAAATCTGTGTTGTCATCTCTTAGTCTTAAATCGGCTTAGGGAAAAATCAAGGAAATCACGAGAAACTGCAACAAACTGGGAATGCCTTGTGGGACAGGGATATCTCACTGAACACTGAGAATAGAGTAAATCTTCATCGATATAAAAGAAAAACACAAGACAGGCATGGTGGCGCATACCTGTGATCCCAACACTCAGGAGGCTGAGGCAAGAGGATCTCCATGAGTTCAAGGCTGGTCTGGGCTACATGGTGAGTTAAAGGCCAGCCTGAACGATATAATGAGACCCTGCCTCAAAACAAACAAACAAAGAAAACAAAGAACCCAGGAAAGCGTGTGCATGGCCCAGAGCAGCCATTCTGCCCTGAAAAAGCAAATCCAGGTCACAGTCATCTGCTGGAACACAAGAATGTTCTTGTGAGCACAGACTGGGAGATGGATCAGGGGTGCAGCCAGGACCTCCATCCAACCCACCCTCCTAGATGAGGGCCAGATGCAGCTCGGTGCCACAGCCAAATCCCCAAACACCCCATGACTCCCAAAGCACCTACCATGGTCCAAGAGCCTCCTCCACGCGATTCTGGTGAGGCTTCCCCAGGACTTACACTCAGCGACCTAGGTCCCCAGGACTCAGACCTGGTCGGTCTCCATCCCCACTCCTCCAAGCAGGCCACAGGGCTAGAGCACAGTATGGCTTGGGTGGCAAGAGTGGCCACTCCACTTGCAGACCACCCAGGGCCTTACAGACCACCCAGGGCCTTGGGCTAGGAGCACCTTCGCCATTCCCAAGTAATTACTGAGCACCTACTGCGTGCCTGGAGTCCAAAATGGACCTAGATACATGCAGCCTCCATGGAGCTTATATTAAGTCAGGGAGCCAGAATGACTAAGTTGACAAAGAAATTTGGGGCTGTGGGGGAAAATAACAGGGGAGGGGAGGGCAATGGAGCAGCAGACAGGGCAATGAGGGCCATCCCAGCAATCAGGTAGGCTGATGGCAGGCGAGAGCATTCCAGGCAGAGGGTGTAGCCAATGCAAAGACCTCTGCACAGAAGTAAGCCTGGTGCCTGCTAGAACTGTCTCAAGGGACCTGAGGCTGGTACAGAGTAAGAAGAGGGAAAGGAAGGAATCAGGAGAGGCTGGCAGGGTGGCATCCTCAGGCCTCATTGGAAGATGGGTTTTCTCCTTATTTTGAGTGCAGTGGGGGTTTGTAGCAAGGGAGCAACACGATCTGGCTCCTACACAGAAAACGGACAGTAGTGGTCTGGAATTGAAGCCAAGGAGCCTGCAGAAATCGACCAAAGGCACCCAGTTGACAAGTGACTATGGCTTGGATGAGGGAGGTGGCAGTGGCGATGGCATCTATTTAGGAGGCAGAAACAAAAGGCCTCCATGTTGAGTGGCAGGAGCATGAGGGAGAAAACCTCTTCTCAAGTTCCTGCATGTGACGCTGAGATGGCCTCACTGCCCTGAGGGGGAAGACCAGGGAGGAGCAGATGAGGGGAGCTCCCTAAATTCCCTGCCACACTTCTTTGCTTCCTAACTTGTGGAACTGTCCTGTGAACAGTCAGGCACAGAGTCTGGCGCTCAGAAAGGTGGGAGCTAGGATGACCCCCAGAGGTCATCAGCAAGAGTTTACTAAGTGGTGGGCACGCACAACTGCTCACTCCCCCAATCCCACAAGCCGGGTCCCCCGGGGGCACCCCGGTTACCTGCAGTGTCTCCAAGGCCTGGCCGGCCATGCCAGTGGTGAGAGAGGCCACCTGCAGGGCCTGCTTTCGGGCAGCCAGCAGGATCCTGCAGTAGGTGAAGCAGATGGCACCCGACGGCAAGAAGAAGGTGAGGCCCGATGCCACAAGGACGAAAGGCAGGCTGGCCAGAAGGCGGCACTGGCCCGGGGTGGGTGTCCGAGACTGGCCCAGTTCATGCCAGCCCAGCAGCAAGGGCAGGAAGGAAGCAAGGGCGGCGAGGCTCCAGGCGCCCAGGACGAGCGCCAGGGCGCACGAGGGCGTCATGCGCAGCTTGTAGCGCAGCGGCGACAGGATGAGCAGGTATCGGTCCAGGCTGATGAGGCAGAGGTTGAGGATGGAGGCGCTGCAGCACATCACGTCGAAGGCGGCCCAGAGCAGGCAGAGGCTGCGCGCCAGCACCCAGCGCCCGTACAGCACGTTCAGCATGGCCGGCGGCATCACCACCAGCCCCACCATCAGGTCCGAGGTGAAGAGCGACACCAGGAAGAAGTTAGACGTGTTGCGCAGCGCCGGCTGCGTGCAGATGAGCGCGATGAGCAGCAGGTTGGCCGCCGCCGTGAGCGCGATGACCACGCACAGCGCGGCTGCCACCCAGCCGCTGCCCCCTGGCGGCGGCGGCGACCCCGACCCCCAGGGCGGGGCGCTGTGGTTGGCAGGGCCCGGCTCAGGGACCATGGGGACAGGGGACGAGGGCCCGGGACGTGACGGGATGGGCGGGGAGCAGCTAAGCCGCCAAAGGAGGGGAGCTGGCTGGGCGTAGTCGGTGGGAACACCCCCGGGGTTAACTGGCAAGACCCGGACGGGCGAGCAGAAGGGGGTTAGCTGGGCGCCCCAGGGGTGGGTTAGGGACCCAGGAGCTCTCGGGCAGGGAGTTTAGGGAGGAGCACCGGAGCGCTGAGTCCCCCAAAAGAAAGTTAGATGGAGGCCGGATGGGCGCTCCGGGGAGGGACAGAGCCCCCCCCTCCCCCCCGAGGGCTCGGGGATGGCGTTCCCTGGGCAGCGCCCCGGGGGTGGAACAGAGCAAAAGGGCGCTCTCCGGCGGGCTTCCGCGGCGGGTGGGCGTAGGGAGAGCTGGGTCCCAAGCCGTCCGTCGCGCTTCGGGGGTCGCTGTTGGGGGTCCGGAGAGGGGGATCGAAGCCCCTCCAGGGAAGGCAAGCCTCCCACGGCGTGGAGGCTCCCCGGGCTCGGGCGCCCTCGGCCTTGCGGCGCGCGGGAGGCCGCGGAACCGGCAGGGCAGGCCCGCAGGGCAGTACCGCGCTCTGCCCTCCCCGCCGCCCAAGTCGTGGCGCCTCCCGCCCGCGTTCCTACCTGGGCGCCCGAGCTGCTCGGCTGCCGGCGACTGCGGCAGGCTCCAAGGGTGGGAGCGAGGCGGTGGCGAGCCGAGGGCGCCCGAGCGGGAGGCGCGGCGAGCGACCGCCGGTGCCTGTGGGGCGCGTGGTCCCGGATCCCCAGCGTGCTCCCCGCCCCGCGGTGGGCGGGGAGAGCAGAGCCACAGCCCGCGGGAGCGGGGTCCCGGACCCCAGGCCTGCGGAATGATGCTGCGCCGGTCGCCTCCAGGGAGGTGGCACCCCCAAGTCTCTCCCCCTACACCACACGTGGTGATGGCGCAGGCGGAACTCAAAGGGGGCTGTGACCTGCCTGTACCCAGGAACTGCTCCCCGTTGGAGGCCTGGCCTCTTGAGGCAGGGGTCACTGCATTAGGGCTAGCCAGCTGGATCTCAGTTGCGTCATCTATGAAATGGGCTAGGATTCCTGGCATTCTTCACCTTTAGCTAGAGCAGAAATCTCGTGGCCGGCAGCACCAGGTACTAGGGATGAAGTCCCTGACTTGTTGGTGCTCCCAATATGAGTGTAAACGTTTGGGGATCCCCACCCCAGGTAGGGTAGAGTCACTGCAGACCGGGGGTAGAGTGTGGGGCCTCCTGGCTGTGACACCCCCCCACCCTCTCACCTCGCCTCCCACCTAACCCTCCTGTGTAGATCAATATGGCAGATCCCCTGGGTTGCTCCTAAATACTTCTTGAGCACCTAGCAAGTAGCAGAGCATCCATTCTGATCAGTCAGGGCACTACAGCGACCAAAACAAAGCTCCCCATCTCCCAGGAACTTAGACTCTAGTGGAAGGAGACAGACAAACAATAAGCATAATAAATATATAAAGTGATTGTAAAGTGATCATTGCTACAGAAAAAAATGTACACAGTATAAAGTGAAAATCATTTTTCAGAAACACAAGAGTATCACCCACATGTAGGCTCCAGTTGTTATATTATTCTTACCCCTATTTCTGCAGAAACAATAATACTGAGAAGTAGGTGTTAAACTGGCAGTCAGAGAGGTCACCAGCAGCAAGTTATCGAGTGGGAACTGAAACTCAGATCTGCCAGGTGCCCGAGGCAAAGGGAGCCAACAACAGATAGCCCAGGTACCTCTTGACAGAAACCTCAGACCCACTCCTGCCCCAACCCCTGTATGGTGCTCCAAGCCCCAGTATTTTTGTTTTATTTTGAGACAGGATCTCACTGTGTAGTTCAGGCTGGCCTTGAACTCACTATGTAGCCCAGGCTGGCCTCAAACTTACAGCAAGCCTCCTGCCTCAGCCTCCCAAGTTCTGGGATCACAGGCGTGCATCACCATGCCAGGCTTCCAAGCCCAACTATCTCCAGCAGGCGGATCTAGGCAGCAGATGGAGGCCTGTCCTCCCTCCCCCAGGCCACAGTGCACCCCAAGGAGCAGGGTGCAGTGCAGAAATCCTGGGTTGGTGGTAACTCTGGAATCCTACAACCAGCAGCTCCACCTCCTTGGTTCCCCTTTTTCTCCTCTGCAAGAGTTAACAGAATACAGTGTCTGCCTTACAGGGGCATTGAGGAGATGAAATGACCCTGGTATAAATGTTAGTTGGTGCTGTGTCAGTGCTAGCTATTGGCCTCAGTGTTCCCATCTGTACAATGGGAATGTGTCCAGCCATGCAGTAACTGTCAGTCCAGGGATTTCTAAGCAAGCAACGGCAACCCCGACAGATGCTATGTAGAATGGATCTTGGCTGGTTCTCTTCATTGTACTCCTTGCTCTTTGAGATGCACAAAGTCTCCTCAGTTCTCTGCTGCTATGAAATTAGAGTACTGCAGATGTGACTGTTATTTTAACCTCTTGGTGAAAAAGATGTACCCAATATATTTTAGCTTTGTAAAAAATAATATATAATGGGATAGAATATGTCCTTTGTTTTAGATTTTTCTGTCGTGTATGACATCTTTTATTTTTATAAAGAAAATGTGATGTTAATTTTAACATGAGTTCATCCCGGGTGATGGATCCATGGATGTTTGCTGTTTTAAAATCTGTACTTTGCTAATTTTTCTTAAAGATTAGGTCAAGGTAGTGGTGCCACCTTGCGGCCATACTGTTATTTTGCACTTGAGGTCTTTTCAGAAGCTCCGCGTGTAAGCTCCCCTATTTGTAATTTATCTCGTGAAATAGTGAAGCCCTGGGCTTCCTTAACATTTCAGGGTAGAGACTGACTTTCAAGAATGATCAGCCATGGCTGGGGGCACACTCCTGTAATCCCAGCTACTCTGGAAGCTGAGGCAGGATGTTTCCAAGTTGGACTCAGGCTTGGGCAACTTAGTGAGACCTTGTCTCAAAATAAAAATAATAAAAAGGACAGGGAATGTAGCACAGTGCTCCCTGAGTTCAATCCTCAGTGCTTCAAAAACAGAAGAATGATGACCAGCCTTTGATTGATTACTTCTAGCCACGGCAGGCTTCTCTGGAGAAGGTGTCTGGTAACATGAGTTAACTGAGTCTCAGGAAACCTCTGCGATGCCTCACTAGTAACAGCAGCTGACATTTATTGAGGTCTCACCAGGTGCCAGGCACTGTCCCGACACTCTCTGTGCAGTAGCTCATGGAAGCCTCACTGTGACTCTGGGAGTGAGGCTGGTATCAGAGGAAGGTACCGTTTTACACACAGGAAACCTGAGCCTTACAGGACCTGTTCATAATTACGTCTAGGAAGGGCCCGGCTGAGATTTGAACCCGGGCAGACTTCTCCAGAGGCTTGGAGCAGGGGTTGATAGGTGGCTCCATACAGGCAAACAAGGTGGAGAGGCAGGCAGGGATGACCCAGCCATCCAGAGAGGGGCCTGCCTCCACAGTGCTGGTGTGGTTGCTCACCCCTTGTAAGGTATTCTAGGCTCCTTCATCTTGCGGAGAGGGGCAGACGGACTGCAGTTTTATTCCTGGGCTCTCTTGGTAGCTCAGTTTGAGCTTGGTGAAGAGAAAAACCAAGTCACCGCGCCACTCACACACACACACACACACACACACACACACACACACACACTCACACACCCCTCAACTAGAAAAACCTGTCAGATCTGCATTCTTCAAATGTGGCTCCTCCCCCTCACGTACTCCCACACCCAATCAGCGGCGCCTCTCCCGTGTGGCCACGCCTCCTTCCCGCGGCCCCGCCTCTCCAGTCCCACTGCAGAACTCCTGCCGCCTTCACCCCTGCTGGTCTCACTCTCCCCTTCCTCCTACCCATCGCAAATCCGCCTAGCATTCCGGGCCTGCCACCAGCCTCGCCAGCACACCTTCCTGCTCCTTCCGTTCAGTCCTGGTTAATGTGTGCATCTACATCCCGCCTCGTTCCCCACACAGGATGGAGGATCAGGACTCCTGTCACCAAGGTAGCGCTCAGGGGCTCAGAGGTCCAGCACCAAGGACCCCTGGTGGCTCATTTCTTGTTGCTATCGTGACCGCCATGCTGAAATGTCCAGGGGTGACATGTGGGGGACCTGTGAGCCTATTTGAGTCACCTATGCTTCTGGAGCCTCGGTTTCCCACTCCATAACACAAATATGAAAGCCCTACCCACCGTGGACTTAGGATTGTTGGTGTCCTTGAGCATTCACGGGCGCAGGGCCACACTGCCCAGGGTTAGAGTCCTGTTGATGTTTTTTAACTTCATGACGCTGGGGATAAAAGGACTCAACCCTCTGCACCTCAGCCCTTTATCTGCAAACGAGGGCCCCATGGCCCAGCGGCAGTGAGGACTGGGTGAATTTGTCTCTGTGTATTCCTTAGCACAGATTCCAACCTTATATTAATTTGTGGCCGGTGGTTTTGGGTTTTATCTGTTTCCACCGTGAGAGAGTCAAGCCCAAGGGACCGTGAGTCAAAGTCCAGCTCTGAGGCCCACCCACAACATACACAAGGCCAGTAAGGGCACCCTCGAGAGAGGTGGGAGCCAGGGCTACAGTGGAGCAGGTTGTTGTGCCAAGGTGCCAGGGCGGGACAGCACAGGGGCCCTGTAGGATGGCACCAGTGGCTCTGCTCAGCACCATGGAACCCAGGCCCAGGCCCAGGCCCAGTCCCCTCCCCAAACCCCCAGGTCAGCAGAGCCCAACAAGAGGGAAGAGGACACAGGGATTGAAGGCATTTATTCATAAGAAGACTCGGAGTCCTTTGGGGGAGTCTATTAGTTACAAGCTCTATGGAAGCTCTCGTCCATGGGAACAGCCGAGGGGCCGGGTACCCCCACGCATGGGTGGGGGGCTGGCCTCACCCTGGGCACACTTGAGAGAGCAGCATGGGCAGTTTAGGGGCAGAGGGAGCTTCACTGCCTGCCACCCACCCTGGCCCGGGTCCCACATCCCTCTAGGTTTAAAGTGCAGCTGGGTGGGGGGCAGAATTGGGGAGCTAAAGAGCCAAGGTCACCAGGAGTCACCCACAGGGGCCACCCTGTCCTGGAGCTCCTAGAGGCTCAGCCAGCGTCCACTTGGGTCCTGATTGGACCCTCTGGTGAGGGAGACCACTCCCACCCTCTAACCTCTTCTCTGAGGGGCCTGGAGCCTGGGGGCGGGCGGTAGGAGGCACTGCAGTCTCTACAAGAGAGGGACACTCTTCTTTGGTGATGATCTGGAGGCTCGTTCCCAACCCAGGGCCCAGGAAGGGGCTCCACCACTGTCCCCAGCACCGGCGACCCAAGGAAACCAGATCAAGGCCCAGAGAGCCTGGCCCCAGCTCTGGGGCCCCGAGTCAGCAGGGTCCTGCCCTGCCTGACTTCCAAACCACTCCACTGGGTTGAGGGCACTTTGTGCCCAGGGCAGATGCTTCCCCGGAGATGGGAGGTCCAGGGAAGGCCTTTAGGGAAACTTGTGGGGGCTGGAGCGTCTCACTCCTGCCAACGGTCTTCCTAGCCTAGTCCTCCTGCCAGGCGGACACTGGCATGCTGCCACCCTTAGTTCGGGGCCCCCGGCTGCACCATCCCACCCCACCCCGGGGATCCTGCCCCACCAGGGGCTGTGCGGGCCTTGGCCCGTGCCCACCATCTTGGAAGGCCTCACTCACTCCTCAGCAGCTTGGCCGACTTCCTCCCCCTCCCAAGGACACATCTCTATAAGGCAGAAAGGAAAGACTGCCCCCCCTTCCAAAAAGAGCCCTGAAGACTTCTACTTCCTCCCCCCACTCTTCAATATATTAAACTGTGAAGCTTGGCTCCAACTCCTCCCCTTGAGATCTCCATGGCGACCAGATGGCATTCCAAGTCCAAGTCTGAATCCAAGCTCATCCAGTGCCGGGAACCCGCCTCTCCCTGCTCTTCCCCAGAGGGTGAGACCCAACATTCCACAGGGGGCGAGAGGGGAGGAAGAGCGAGGGCCTCAGTCCTCAGCCCCCTCTTCTTCAACATGGGGGCCCCCTGGAGTCTCCTGGGGCTCGGGGCTCTGCCCACCAGGCTGGGGGTGGGGGTGGGCGCCTGGCAGGGAGCCCTGCCCCTCCTCGGCCTGCACGTAGACATTCAGCCCCTCGTGGCTGGGCTCCTTGCCACAGGCCTGGCAGCTGCAGTGCAGGATCTTCTCCACCAGCTTGTCCACCCTGGGCATTACCTCATGGCCAGGGCACTCCAAGGTCACCTGGGGTGGGCAGGAAGAAGGGAAAGATTGTCCTCAGGCCTGGGGCAGGTGGGGAGGCCCCAGAAGTAACACGTGGGGTCCCCTGCTTAGCTCCGGGGGGCCCCACGGGCTGGAGGAACTCAGCACTGCAGGAGCTGCCCGACTGGCTCCTCACAGCCAGCCCTGCCCCTTGTGCACACACTCCCACAGCAGCCACAGGGCGCCCCGGGCAGTGCAGCGTCACTTGCCCCTGCTTAACCCTCCGCAAGTGTCCCCCCACTCCCATGACACTTCAGGCTGACTGAAGCTGGTTCCTCACCCTGGACCTAGTGCCACTCCCCCCAACTCTGCTCCTGGTCTGCCTCAGGGACTTTGCTCATGCTGTTCCCTCTGCTTGGAAGGTTCTTCCCAACCCATCCCCATACCTCTTGCCCCAAACTCTGCCCAGTTCACTTCTGGGCAACCTTTGAGTCTGAACTTGGATATCCCTTCCAAAAAGGAGCCCCTCCCAAGCCACCAGCCCAGCTGAGGAGCCCCCTGGGGGAGCCCCATTAGCATCCTGCCTTCCCCTGCCCCCATGGTCACACTTCTAACTGCCTTCTTTCTTCACTTTTCTCTCCCTTGTTCCTTTCACAGAGCACTTACTCCATGCCAGCCCTGGGGACACAAGAACAGACATGTCTGATCTCTCAAAGAAGCCAGCTGGCCACAGTCACCCAAATGGGTTCGGGAGGCTGCAGTTGCAACAGATGGACAAATAGAGGCCCATAGTGTGCTAAGAGCCAACAGCACAGGCATCTGACCCAAACAGCAAAGAGAAATGATGCTTGAGCCAAGAGCAAAAGAATGAATGGGGGGATGCAAGCAGGGGAAAGAATATGTGCAAAGGCCCTGGGGTGGAAGGGCTGAGCAGGTGGAAAGGGCTGAAAGGAGGCAGGCTGGTGTCAGCTGTCAAACTAGTAAGGACAGCAGAAGGCAAGAAGCTGGAAAACCCAGTGCACCAGGCCACCCAGGAGCTTGTGGGCAGGGCTGAGGTGTTAGGAAGCCTTTGAAAGAATTTCAGTCCAAAAGTGACATCCGAAAGGAGCTTCCAAAAGATCCTTGTCCTGCACCAATCAGTGTCAGGCTTTCGACCCATCCCACGTCCCTCCAGCACAAGCCCTGCACCCCGCACACACATGAGGAGACCTGACTGAGTTCTCGTGGACACCTGCGGCAGCGCAGGGGCCAGCACAGGGCCGGGGATGCTGTACTCACGATCTCCCACATGGTCTGGGCCGGCATGCAGGAGTCACAGTGCACCAGGGACTCTGTGGACTGCGGGAAGGTGTTGGGGACGCTGTAGCTGAAACACTGTCCTAGGCACGCCCTGTGGGAGGAGAGGTCGCCATGCTGTGTCACCGGGGGAGCAGGGCTGGGCCACCCCAGGGGCCCCCACATGCCATCCCTCTGCCCCACCTGTTCTGGATGGACTTAGCCTCGCAGCCGCTGTGGCCCACGATCTGAGTGATGTTCTTGGCTTCACACCAGGCACTCTTGTCCGGGAACAGCGCCAGCTTGTTGATGGGTGGGGGGGCAGCCAGCAGCATGGCAGGGAGGATGGCCCCCACCAGGACCCGGAGCATCATGCCTGTGGCCTCCAGAGCCCTGGAACTGAGTGCAGGGGGCGGGTGAGGCACAGCAGGGCCCACAAGTCTGGGCTGGGGGCCCGGGGGAGGTCACAAATGTGGACTATGGGATCTGACCCCTGTGTTTCAAGCCAGCCCTCCGCCCACTAAGCAAGGACAGCTTTGGACAGGGCATTTCTCCACTCTCAGCCTCAAAAATGGAGCTGTTGGGGTTGGGGTATAGCTTACTGAGAAAGCACTTGCCTAGCATACATAAAGCCCCAGGTTTGATTCTCAGCACAGGTTAAAAAATACACACACACACACACACACACGCGCGCGCGCGCGCGCGCGCACACGGCTGTAAATAGCACTGCATCACATGGGTGTAGAAAGATTAAACCGGTGCTAAATGAGCCTGGAAAAACAGGGACACTCCAAATAGCTTACATTTTTGTTTTGTTTGTATTCCTGTGGCATCTGTTTGTTTGCTTTGTTTTGGAGGTTGAATCCAGAGCCTTCCACATGTCAGGCACGGACTCTACCACTGAGCTACATCTCCAGCCTGTTTTGTTTTGTTTTGTTTTCAGTGCTGGGGATCGAATCCAGGGCCTTTGCACTGAGCTTCATTCCCAGTCCTTTTTTAAGTTTTGAGACAAGGTCTTACTAAGTTGCCCAGGCTGGACTCCAATTTGTGATCCTCCTGCCTCGGCCTCCCAGTGTGCTGAGATTACAGGTGTGCACCACCATGCCAGCTGTCAATCACTTTTGTAACTCACTATGTAGCCCAGAGCAAGTTACTGTTTATCTCTGCACCTTGGTCTCTGCACGGCAGAGGATCCTTCAATGACCAAACAAGGCATGAAGTGTTCAAGTGCATGTGAAGAGTTGAGCAACATCCTCCAGGGTCAATCAATTGTTTGAGCAGTGCTTGAGGGCTGCCTCCCCCTCCACCCCGGGCACCATGTCTCCTCCAAAGCCACTGTCATGTCAGGAATCTGATGCAGTGGAATCTAAACTTAACCTTCATCTCGTGGTGAATTCTGCCATCCCCACCAGACGGATTTCTTTCTAGGATGCTCCACCAGAGCCTCGAGCCCAGTAGGGGTCTATATACACCTTTACCCTCAGCCCCATCTAAACCCTGGGTCAGCAAAAGACAAAGTCAGGTATCAATCCCCCCTGCAATAGAAAAGCAGGGCGCTAAAATACCAGAATCTACCAGAAGATGGCGCTGCAGGACAGTCTGTGTCTAAAGGCTTTGCTCACAGGCGGTTCCCCCTTCCCCTTTTGTAGATTTCACCCACTTTCCTACTTCAAAAGAGTGAAAGGGGGCTTCAGAGATACTCAGAAATAAGGTAAGTGCTTGAAAGGGGAGTCCCCAACCCTCTGAGTCAGGACACAGGAGAAAGGGTACTGGACACATCTGTTGTGTGACCCTGGAAACTCAGGCCTCTGTCCCCATCTGTAAGGAGTGAGGCGACCTGGGCAAACAGTTGCGGAACCTGACAATGCTCCAGAATTCCCTGGGGATTTGTGGGGTGAAAACTCCTGTGATACTGGGGGACTGAACCCAGGGCCTTTGCAGTGAGCTACATCCCCACCCCATGACCCCCACCTTGGGGTTTTTTGTTTTTGTGTTGTTTTGTTTTATTTTCCATCTTTTAAACCAGGATCTTTCTAAGTTTCCCAGGCTAGGTTTCAACATTCAATCTTCCTGCCTCAGCCTCCCAGAGTGCTGGGATTTCAGGCGTGGGCCAACATCCCCAGCTCTATTTCAGCATTTTTACCGAGCTTCCCAAGGTGGTTCTAGCAGAGCCATCAGAACTATTCCAGTTGACAGTGTGGGACTCTGGGTATCAGGATGGTTTCAGGAGGGGTCAGGGTGAGGCTGACTCAGGCTTGAGGAGTCAAGGGCAGGTCCCACTCGTCCCACCAAAGCCCAGCACCTAGGTGGGGATGGCCTAGGACCAGGCAGCGCATGCAGAACAGCCCTACCTGGGCCACCTTCTGCAGAAAGGAGGTGGTGGTGGCAGAGGCAGGGACTTTGTAAACTGTCCAGGGAGGGGCAGTGGCCAGGCATCGGGCCTGCTCCAGAGGGGAGACCTGGGTGGGCTAGCGGAGCTGGGCTTCAGGGAGTGCACGGCCACCAGCAGGGCAGAGAGACACCATCCTGAAGTCCCCTGGGCTCCCGCCCTCTCCCTGCAGAGGCCTCGGCTCACTGGAGATGACCCTGTCCCCGGCCCCCGAAGGAAGGGGAGCAGCTGGAGGGGAGGTCAGATGTCCTGCCCCCACCCCAGAGGCATTCTTGCCCTGATCCAGACTCACACCCACACATTTCCGGTCTCACTTAAGATCCAGGGCGAAGCCCATATTTTCAGTACAACCACATCCCAGCTTTAAAACAGAATGGACTGGTTCCTAACTGGCAGTGTGACTGCTCTGCAACAAGTATGGCATCCAGAAGGCTAAGAGGCCCCTGCCCTCCGCCCCACCCGCTCCCGAGGGACAGGTCAGCTGGGTTAGGGAGGTGATAGGGGGCTGGGAATGGTGCCAAGGTCGCTGTAGGATTTGAGATTGAGGCTGGGGCTGGAATGAAAGTAGCCTGGAGAGGGGCAGTAGTTAGCAGAGTGAAGTTTGGAAGAAGCTGAAGAGAAATGAGATAAACTGAGGCAGAAGGCCACCTCCCTATCTTCCTCCCTCTCCAGTGCCCAGTGGACTGTCTGTCATAAGGGTCCCTGTCAGAACTGACCTTCCTCCACCCAAAGCACAGCACCTGTCTCAGAGAAGGACCCAGCACCAGGGAGCCCCCCACTGAGGCCAGCCCTCACCTACAGGGCCGTTCGGGAAAGGCCAGCTGCAGCGGTGGCAGCAAGGGTTCCGGAGCCCTCACGCACATGGGCAGGACACACCCACCTCCTGGCTTCTCTCCCTGCCCTGCCCTGCCCAGCCCGGAAGGACACACACTGCCCCCACCAGTGAATAGGATCTTTGCCAGCAGGTTTTATTTTTTGTTGTTGTTGTTGGTGGTGGTGGTGGTAGTGTATGCTTTTTTGGTTTTTTTAACTAGCAACTCTGCTTTTTTTTTTGAGCAGCAGTCAGACCTTCCTTCCTGAGCCCAGAGAGCCTCACCCAGATTCTCAACCCTTCCTCCCCGCCCTGAAGGTCACACAGCAAGTCATGGAACTCCCGGAGTGCCAGCGTAGGAAGGGGAGTCGGGGATCTCCCAGGCCAACAGCCCAGGCTCTCCCCAGGCAGAGATCTCACAAGGCCCCCCAGTAGATCAGGCAGAGCCAGGCCCTGCCCTGGGCCACTCTGTCCCCTGCAGGTGGACGCCCCTTTCAGGGTGGCCCTTAGTAATGCATGGCCTTTAGAAGGGTGGGAGAGAAGACACCTATGGAACAGCAGGGGGCCTGGGGCTGCAGCTCTGCACCCTCCTACTTAGGAGGCCAGGGCCCAGTGGGGAGGTCTGGGGCTTGGGTGAAGGGGAAGCTGTTGTTTTGAGCGGGGACAGCCAGAGATGGGTGTGCAGAGGGCCTTCCTTCTGCGTTGAATGCAGGATTGCAGTAGTTACTGGTGGTGGGTAGGAGGGGAGCGCCAGGGTGAGCCCCTGCATGAGAAAGGCCCTGAGAAGGACTGTAGCTGCCAGCCCAGCCCGCACACCCTCCCCTGCCCTAGCGGGAGGAAGAGCTGGTCCTAACTGCAGGCTCTGTTGCTGTCCTGAGTGCTTCTCCTGGTGTTAATCATCTTGGTCCTTACAGTAACCCTGTGGGATGGATACTATTTTTTTTTTTTTTTGGTACCGGGGATTGAACTCGGGTCCTTGCGCTTGCGCAACAGGCGATGAAACCACTGAGCTAAATCCCCGGCCCAAAAGGATATTTTTTTTTTTTTTTGTACCAGGGATCGAACTCAAGACCTTGTGCTTTTGAGGCAGGAGCTGGAGCCACTGAGCTAAATCCCCAGCCCTTGGATACTATTATTGCCCCAATGCACAGATGAAGAAATGGAGGCACCGAGAGCCTGAGATCTGCCGAAGTTTACACAATTACTCAACGGAAGAACTGAGCTTCAACTCTGAGCAGTAGCAGGTGCGCCAGCAGTTACGCTTGCACATGATAGCGTCTCGGAAGAGAAAGAAGCAAGAAAGAGAGGAAGAGACACATGCAGGGAGTGGACGGATGGAATCTGGGGCAGGGAGAGGCCTGGGCTCCTGCGCTGCCCTCTTGCTCCTCTTAGCACCCTGCTGTTCCCAGCTGCCCAGGCTGGAACTGGGGAGCACCATGATCACAGACTGAGTCCTACTCCCAGCTCCCCACAGACGGGCATGTGGCCGCCAAAGACCCTGGCTGCTTGGAGTCTCAATAGAGACATGAAGCTGTCCCTTCCCCACAGGGCTGCTGGGTAAGTGGGTGCCTTCCTGCCACACTCACCTACGCATTCACTCCCAGGTCCACGCCAATTCCTTAAAGGCCTCCTGAAACTTATTTTTCACACAGCAAGGAAGTCCCCAAGGGGTGACACTGGTGACCCAGTTTTGGCACCATGGAAACTGAGGCACGGGTAAAGAAGTAACCAGCCGATGTCTCCTACTGTGGGAAGAGGGCAGTGAGCAGACAGCAGATGGGCCTGGATGGCTTCCCAGGGGCACTTTTGTTAAGAAAGTGCCTCAGGGAGGTGGGACAGCAAGAACACAGGCCGAAAGCTTTGGGGCCAGGCCTCTGGGGCCACTCCACACCTACCAGAACCCAGCAGCTTCTCTAAGGCGCTTGTCAGGAATGCAGATGCCCAGGCCAGCAAATTACCGGGAGAGAGGCACGCTTCTCCCTCCCCAACACCAGCCCCGGCCTCTGTAACCTCCCTTGGGAACTCTTCCCACATCTGCCCCATCTGACTCCAAGGACGCTTGATGGGCTCAGCTTCTGGGTTCCAGAGGATCCCACACCCTAAATACAGGGTTGTGACTTCTTGTTCAACCCCCATCCCCTACCTCTGCCTCTTTTCCTGTCCCCCACTACCCCGACAAACATACCACAGGCCCTGGTC